GGCTTAATATGATACTCTGCTGTATTCACCTCTATTTTGGGCTTTTTTCTGGTATTTTTATTTTAAATCTTTAATGTCTTTTCAAGTTACAGAGATTTTTAAACCGTACTCTGTATTTGTTAAAAATGTGCAAGGATGATCTCAGAACACTGCATAAACAACTCGGTAACTTCATATATCTCTGAACATCTGACAGATGAAGAAAAGTGGAGAAGCAGCTTTTCCTTTTACGCTTCACAGATTTCATTAAACCTCAGTAATCCTCCATGTTCCTCACATAGCCTCTATTATTAGCTTCACACAAAAAACAACCTATCATTTTATTGCAGCATTTAATTAGCACTCATCATACTGTTATTTAAATGATTTTTTTCACCAACCTTTTATTTATTTCTAACACTCTTCTCTAACTTTTGTTTACTTGATGACTTTTTATGTCTGTGTAAATGTCCTTTATTCATTTTATGCTTTATCTTATCTTTCTAATTCTTTCAGTGGCGTAATTTGGTTTTTTACTCCTTAAGGGCTTTTATTTTGTAACAAGGGGCTGCTCATACTTGCCTGTTGACAAATAAATATTCTTTAATAAATTCATTGAGAAAAGGCCAATTAGGCCCAAGTGTCTTCTTGTCAGCCACTCAGCTGTTTCTTTTTCTAACTAAATTTGTATCTAATTAAATTCTTATTTAATTCTGTTTGCGTCCAGATGGTTGTGAAATCATAAGCATGTTCCAGTCATATCTGTTATTATCCATGCAATTCACTTTGTAAATGTTTTTTTTTTACATTATCATTGCTAGCATTACACTAATTTCCATTAGCACCTCAAAGAGCTTTGTGATGTTAGTTAGCACCAGGCTAGCAGTGGTGTATATTCACTTCTAATAGCAGTTTTTTCAAGCTTGAAACCCTTAACTGGCATTCAAGTAACTTATTCTGAAATATTATCACCAAAAAAAAACCCAGTCAGCTGCTGTTTACACCATATCAAAATTTTATGATGAATAGACCAATCGAAACTGTCCTGAACTTAAAGCTGGTCACAGAAAATTATTGGAGGAGCCTGTTAACCTGTTAGCTGCTGACCCACCTACTCTGGTAAGAGTTAATTGTAAGGGCAAAATATGGGAGGGTAAAAAAAAACTGTAATGATGAAAACAAGAGAAAGCTTGTGAACAAACTTTAAGTTGCCTTGACAAAGCCTTTGTCATGAAATCTCAGGTGGTTGCTAAGGTGTTGCTAGGCTGTTGCTATTTTATCCCAAGTGATTGCTGAAGTGTTCCTAGGTTGCAGCTATGCTATCTCAAGCACTTGCTAAGGTGTTGCTAGGCTGTTGCTGTGTTATTCCAGATAGTTGTTATGTTGCAAAACCATTGCTATGGAATCCAAGGTGGTAGTGTTATTAGGCCATTGCTATGCAATCCCAGATGTTTGCTAAGGTATTGCTCGGGCATTACTATTGCATCCCAGGTGGTTGCTATCAGTGTTGCTTGGCCATTGCTATGGTATCCCAGGTGGTTGCTAAGGTGTTACTAGGGCATTGCTATGGTATCCCAGATGGTGGCTCATGTGTTGCTAGGCCATTACTATTGTCTTTCAGGTGGTTGCTATTGGTGTTGCTTGGCCATTGCTATGTCATCCCAAGTGATAGCTACAGTGTTGCTAGGTCACTGCTTTTGTATCTCAAGTGCTTGCTAAGGTGTTACTAGGCTCTTCATATGTTATCCCAGATGGTTGCTAAGATGTTCCAAGACCATTGCTATTTCATTCCAAGTGGTTGCTAAGGTGTTGCTTAGGGCATTGCTATGGTATCCCAGATGGTGGCTAAGGTGTTGCTACACCACTTGTATTGTATCTCAGGTGGTTGCTATAGGTGTTGCTTGGCCATTGCTATGGTATCCCGGGTGGTTGTTAAGGTTCCCTAATGCTTTTTCTAATTTAGTAAATGTTTTCAAGCCTCTCTCCTTTAAATTTGATTAGATTTTTTTTTACATTTACAAAGTAGAGCATTTTATTGAAGCTATTAGAGTGGACAAAACAAGCATCACCAGCTTATTAGAGTGGAGGCTCTCAAGTCAAACTGGAGTTTGTGGCTTCACAAGAACTGTCTAGTCTTCTGAAGGTGAAGGCATCGCTTTAAAAGCCACTGAATGAGAGGGCAAGAAAAAAGGATTCTATCATAGCAGCATTCAGTGTGCCATCCATTAACAGTGCTAAAACTGTCATAAATTCTAATGCAATTAATTAATACATGATTGTGTTATTAACATGCAATCAACAATCTATTAACATGTTATTAGCACACTAATCCATACACAGACTGCCAAATACCCATGAGAGTGCACATGTCCCACATCCTCAACACCCAGCGTTCCCAAAACTCAGCAATAAAACCCCCAAAGTGCTGTGGTAATCAATCTAGACAGCTTCAGGCGTTCTCCTGTTCCTTAGCAAATAAACACATTCATTAGCGAGCTAAAGCCAGCTGCCGTCAAATGCTGGAGGAAATATAATCTGTCACAGGCTCCAGGCGCCAAATTCCCACCATCCTGGGGATTCAAACACCGAATGTTCCTCGTGCATACATGGCGCAGCGAAAAAGATCAGGAAACATACACAGTGTTCATTAAAACAACAAAATATTTGTCAGAACGCAAAAGAAATGTTCTTCACCAAACCTGCATCTCCACCACTGTAGAGTAAACTTTTCAGAAGTACTTTGTTCCTCTGAAACAGAAGCGCAGAAGTTTAATCTGATGTTAAGAGCTGATCTTTGTCTCTGAAAGAACTCTTTGAGATTATCAATTCGAGTCAGATCAAATGTACCTAATCCATTCCCTTTGAAAAACAATCTGTCTCAGAGCCTCAGAGCCTCCGACACGGACTTTTTTAGTAGTTTGCCAAAAAAATCAAATTTACACAATTTTACTCCTTACGCTCACATGTAACTGATCAGCCAAGACACTTCATATCAAATAGACTTGCTTATGTGGTTTCTGGTGCTGTATGACATTCTGTTATCTATAAATGCTGTGAAGATGTTAGGTGTGCATTATTATGCTGTTATAAAGTCTTATCAATCCAATAACTTATTAAGCCAATAATAACTTATTTACAAGCATTATTAAGCAACAACTGAAATGAAGTGAGCATTTTCCATAGCACTTTTGTGTATTATTCATCACAATCTTGAGTCCAGAGTCCATTATTAAGCCTTATGAATCCAATATTCAATAATAGCTGAAAATTAAGTTGCTGTTTATTACGACTTTATTAAGCATGATGAGGTGAAGAAAGCACTTTCCAGAGCCCTTTTATTTGTGTATTATACATCACAATCTTGAAAACATTAGAGTCCATTATTAAGCCTTATGAATCCAATATTCAATACCATGCCAATAGCTAATAATGAAGAGGTTGCTTATTACTACTATATTAAGCAGTAACTAAGGTGAAGTAAGCGCTGTCCAGAGCCCTGTTATTGGTGTATATCTGTGAAAATGTTAGATGTCCATAATTAAGCCTTATGAATCCAATGTCATGCCAATAGCTAATAATAACGTGGGTGCTTATTTCTACTTTATTAAGCAGTAACAAATATGAATGAAGCACTTTTCAGAGCCCTTTTCTTTGTGTCTTATACGTCCCAATCTTCTGAATATGTTAAAGTACATTATTAAACCTTATGGATCCAGTATTATGCCAATAGCTAATAATGAAGTGGTTGCTTATTACCACTTTATGAAACAGTAACTAAGGTGAAGTAAGCATTTTCCAGAGCCCTGTGATTGGTGTATATTTCATTGTAATTTTGAGAACATGTTAGATGTCCATAATTAAGCCATCATGCTAATATCCAAAAAGTGGCTGTTATTACTACTTTATTAAGCAGTAACTAAGGTTAAGCAACACTTTCCAGAGCCCTTTTACTTGTGTATTATACAACACAATCCTGTGAACATGTTAGAAGTCCATTACTAAATAACTTATCAAGCCAATAGGTACTAATTAAACAACTACTTATAACTATTTTATTAAGCAGTAACTAAGGTGAAGCTTATTTCACCTTAGTTATTGCTTCATAAAGTAGTAATAAGATGACAGTTAATTAGTAATTATTTGCTTGGTTATTTAACAGCTGTTGCATTGATGAGGTTTAATGAGGACACAATCATGGATACCTTACATGTGCAATATAATGCAAAAATAAACATGCAAGGAAAATACTTTTCCTGTCAGTTACTGCTTAATAATGTAATAATAAGCAGCCAACTGATCAGTAGCTATTGATCTATCAATAAGGCTTAAGAAGGGCATAATAATGGACAGCTTATATGTTGTTTAGAAGATTATGATACATAATACACAAATAAATCCTCAAAAAAATGCTTATTTCACTCTTGTTACTGCTTAATAATTTAGTAATAAGCAGCCAGGTAAATAACAGTTGTTCACTTGATACATTTTTTAAAAACAATAGGAATAATAAGGCTTAATAAGGGCATAACAATTGACACCTAACGTTGTTGACAAGGTTGTAAAGGTAATACAGATCTGGAACATTATTATTACAACTTAGTTGATGCTTATTAAAGTAGTAATAATCAGCTAGTTAATTAGTAGTTAATGGCTTAATGTATTTAACAGCTTTGAACTCCTAAGGGTTAATAAGGACATAATAATGGACACCTAACATGTTGTGCACAAGATTATTATGTATAATAAACAAAGTCATCTGGAAAATGCTTGTCTCATACTAATTACTGCTTAATGACATAGTAATAAGCTAGTAAATTACGAACTATTGATTTAATAATGCTTAAGCACATTACAGGGTCATATATATGTTCCCCTATACTTGATGATTTAGGCATGCAGTTAGCACGATGCTAATTGGTGGGGTATAAGCTCCCAGTACTACATATATTAGCCTCATAGACTCCAGTGCAAACTAAAGAAGCAGGTATAGTACTGGAACTATTGTTTAAACACACCCTCACCTGATGGATTGAGCAGCCTCCAGGTGATGGAGGGATCCGGCCTGCCGTTAGCGAGGCAGCTCAGCGTGACGTTGCTGCCTTCGTTCACAGTGATGTCCTCCGAAACTCTGTATATGTTGGCGGGAACTGAAGGAGAGAAAATAAAACAAAAGTTAGCACATCAAATAGAACAATGTCACTAAATTAACTTGAGCAGGGAGACACCACGGAGCGTAGATGTATTCCCCAGAGACTGGCAGATGGTTCACAGCCTCTTTAGTAGACGTCGAAGGTATGTGTTCTCATAATGTGATAAATAATAGCTCTTAGAAGATATGACACCGACCTGATGTGAAAAAAGACTTAAGTGCAACATAAATTCAATCTTGAAGCTGACACCAGAGAAAAGATTACACAATTCAATATTAAGCAAGTATTGCATAAGATGACTGCAGGCAACTTCACATTTGCTTCACGGTAACTTATAAATAAACTGGCTTCTGGTTTAGTGTAATCTCCCTGGCCGCTTTATTAGAAACACCTTGCAGTTGCCCTCGTGGGCCACTTTATTAGAAACACCTGCCTTGTACTTCCTCTAACTGGCCACCTTATTAGAAACACCTACCTTGGACTTCCTCTAACTGGCCACTTTATTAGAAACACCAACCTTGTATTTGCCCTCATTGGCTACTTTATTAGAAACACCTACTTGGTATTTCCACTTACTGGTCAAACAACTAGAAACACCTCCCTTCAACTTATACTAACTGGCCACTTTATTAGAAACACCTGCCCTGGACTTCCTCTAACTGGCCACTTTATTAGAAACACCTACCCTGGACTTCCTCTAACTGGCCACTTTATTAGAAACACCTACCCTGGACTTGCTCTAACTGGCCACTTTATTACAAACACTGCCTTTGTCCTTACCCTCACTGGTCACCTTATTAGAAACACCGACCTTGTGCTTACTCTAACTAGCCACTATATTAGAAACACCTTCCTTGTCCTTCCCCTCACCGACCACTTTATAAGAAACACTCACCTTGTGCTTCCACACACTGGCCACTTTATTAGAAACACCGACTTTGTTCTAACACCAATTTTGTGCGAGGTTTAGAAGGTTGCTGTAATGCTGGACTGGATTGAGAGCAGGGAAATGTTTAAATGCTTAACACAGAGCTATAGAACTCAATGAGATTTTAATGGAGACTCTGCTAGTGGTTCTCTGGCACGGAACCAAGCAGTTTAATCCGTAAAATCACCACTAATCACTCACAAATGAGATTTTAACTTCTTTATGCCTAGCATTGATATTTCCTGTTGAGGGAAACCTTCTCTGTGAGCAAAGCGGAACAGCAGAAGTGCTGAATGAACGCTGCAATCAGCAGAGATGTCAACAGAGAATCCTGTGGACCCCTCTGCGCTGATATAGTCAGGGCAGCCCATCCGTAGCAAACATAAACCTTCCACAGACAAACCGACGAGACGGCTTTGATGAACGTTCGGATCGGACCTGCATATTCATCACCCAGAAGCGTGGTATAAATGAAAGGCTTCTGCTCCCCCGGCGTGATTTAGCCTCGCCACGATTTAGCGACGGACAAAGAAAGACGAGGCCGCGAGGCTTGTGCATATTCTGCGGGAGAGGAGAGGTGTAGCGTTTCTCCATGGGTCAGCATTTCAGCTGCGATCAATCACTCGGCGGGGGACGTTTAATACATCATGGCGGTTCCCGAGCGGCATCGCTAATTCAGCGCACAGCTAGCAGAGGCGTGATGCAGAATAACAACGACGTGGGTCCCTCTCGGAAAGTTTGTCTTAAAGCGTTGATTTCACAGATACAATCCGAAGAACAGGTGACGGTCTGTGCATACTTGATTCAGCACTTAACCATTCAGCAAAACAAATAGCAACCACCAAGGATGGAGTGACAGCACTTCATTTGTCTAAGCAAGAGGCAATCCATACATTCTCTTATTGAAATCCCTCTCCTGCAGCTCCACCTTGCCGATCTACAGTTTGAGACTGAAGCTCATCTGTACAAGGTAGGTGTTTCTAATAAAGTGGCCAGTGAGTGGAAGCACAAGGTAGGTGTTTCTAATAAAGTGGCCAGACAGTGGAATAAGAATGTAGGTGTTTCTAATAAAGTGGCCAGTTAGTGTAAGTACAAGGTAGAGGAGGAGCGCAAGGTGGGTGTTTCCAATAAAGTGGACAATATGTGGAAGTGAAGATAGAGTGTTTCTAACAAAGTGGCCAGGTAGAGGAAGTACAGTGTAGGTTTTTCTAATAAAGTGGTCAGTAAGTGGAAGTACAAAGTGAGTGTTTCTAATAAAGTGGCCAGTTAGAGGAAGTACAATGTAGAAGTTTTTAATAAAGTGGTCAGTTAGAGGAAATACAATGTGAGTGTTTCCAATAAAGTGGCCAGGTAGTGGAAGTACAACGTTGTTATTTCTAACAAAATGAAATCAGAGGTTCTGCTGTTGGTGCTGACTGCAGATGTTAAACGTATCAGTTTATTTTTGACAGACATTTTATAATTAAGTCATCAACTTTTAATAAAAACCCTGGTGACGTTTGTCTTTGTCAGTGCTGATTTACCATTTGCATGTGAAAAAACACAGCCACTCCATCTTCATGCCCTCTGGGTATTCGAGCTGTGAGAGTGCTCAGCTTTTGCTGATGATTGGACTAAAATGGCATCAATTAGCCCCACTTTGCTCCCCCTCAGAATTTTAGCCCCGTTTTCTTTTGAGAGGGATATCGTTATTGTACCAGTCAGCATGTTGGGTGGACACAGTGGGAACCCTGACCCAGGACTGGATTACACAGAACCAGTCAAAAGTTTGGATACATCAGACTCTTTTAAAACATTGAAACTATAAAATAAGTTATATACATAATAGTGCAGTGACCGTTAAGTTGAATTCTTCAACAAATGCTTGGCTGGTTGCTCAAAATTGTACATTCAGTTTACTTTACAAACTTATTTTCAATGGAATTCCGCAGACTTTTCCAAATAAAGGCATAATTAAAGGGTTAAGATGTAAATAACGTCATTCAGAGTGGCTTCATGTGGAATAAACCGTTCTAAAGTTCCAGAAAGTCTAAGTCAGAATTGTTCACAAAGCTCGCTCACAGAAAGTTATTGCATGAAATGGTCATGGATTCAATGTCTGATGCCTAAGACATTGTGTTATGACAGTTTTGAGAAGGTCTAGGCCTAAAACGTAATTTTCAATACTCAAGTATGGTGGAGAAAGACACCAGTTTTAGCTTTAGCACTATTTTACTATCATCAACAGTGCATATAAAAACTAACACCTTGTCCTGACAGCCAGCGACGCTAGCAAGCGACAACGACAAAACCAAAATGCTCCCATTATAATCAATGAAGCTGTCTACACCAGCTATGAGCAGCAGAGCTAAATGTAGTTTGTTGCTCAGACATCCTGAAGGCTTCGTGATGTGATGCAGTACCACATTTGAACACTCATTTGCTGTTAGGACACAGTGTCCGAAGACTCTGTTCCAGTTTGACGGCCAGGCTGAGTTATCAGTCTCCTTAGGAAGTGAGATTTCAGCTCTATCACTGACCCTCAGCCAGGCCAACAAAACCCAGAGAACTGTCCACCTTCTAATGTTTGTCTTTAAGCCTTAGAAGTCACACTTATCTCCAGCAATAGTGATCTTAGTGGCAGAGCTGAAATCTGCAGGGTCACTGGTGGTTTTGGATAGTAAATAAAATGGCTATATTTGTGTTGTAGATCCCTGGCTCCTATCACCACCACTGCAAAGAAATCTGAGTCAATTTACATGCAATTATAGTTACTTGAAATCTGCATGAAACTAAATTGCACAGTTCATTTGAAACTCAGCCGCAAAAGTTGCAAATGTCACAATTTCATGAAACTTGCTGAAACAGCCAATAACATCACAGTTGGAAAGGGTTGCATCCAAACAGTGGCTGAAAAACGCAACACTTTATTTGAATAGTCCACTTTATATGTTTTGTAGATAATAAATTTACTTTCAAGTTATGTTGAACTAAGTATCTAAATTGGCCATAATTTTCTTTAACTCTAAACCTGCTCTAATCCTAAACCTCAATCTAAAACCTAAACCCAACCCTTGCCCTGGTCCAAATCCTAACTCTAATCCCACCACTGTTTAGCACCAACTGAGTTTCAACAGATAGTTTGTTAACAATTTGAACATCTATAGATAATCTATAGGGGACTATAGTGGACTTTCCAAATAAAGTGAGACCAAAAAATGAAAGGTGAGATGGTCTGTTGGACACTTGAAAAGGAGATACTCCTCAATCACTTGAGGCCAGGTTGGTATTTTTTCATTTTGTCATAAAAATGCTACTTAAAATTAACTTGGTAACACTTTCTATGAATGTCGCCTTTGTAAGCATCTATAAACACATTTATAACATGTTATAATGTATTCATAAGGCATTATAAACATGGTTATAAATATTTACAAAAAAGAATTACACTGAATAACACATTATAGCCATGTTTATTATACATTATGAATTAGTAATATAATGCATTATAAGTAGTGTTAATACCATGTTATAATGTCAGTGCCAAAGAAGTCAGTCCCAGCTTGGAGAGCGTAAAGTAAAGACAAATACCAAGCTAACGGTGGTGAACATTACCTTTCCCACATTGGGTAAAACACTGATGGCAGCACTAGTTTAAACTCTAACATTTGAAGCCTGTAATGTGCTTTATTATGTATGTTTTAGTGTTTCAGTAAATCCTTCAGTAAATACTTCAACTTGAAACCTCACTCTGAACACTGGAGGAGGCTTTAGTACAGTACGCTTCACTTTACTTAGAGTGGACAAATACAACTTATGAGCTCTTATAATTTGTTATGATCAGTACTTATAATGTATTATGTTAACAATTCATAATGCATAATAAGCATGGCTATAATGTATAATGCATTTTTATAAATATTTATAGCTGTTTATAATGTCTTATGCATGCATTATAACATGTTATGAATGCGTTTATAGATGCTTACCAAGGTGACATTCATAGAAAGTGTTACCATTAACTTGCAAATAGATTACATGCTACAGATGTGTTTATACTGCAAGAATGACACTACAGATCAAACAATAT